CAAAATGTATCTGCAGCCACAAATGTACACAATGTATGTGCAGCCACAAATGTACACAAAGAAATTGAGCCTGCAGTGGTTCAGGAAATCATATTGACAGCACCACCAGGGATACACCAACCAGCACTAGTGCTTTTCGGACCATTGAGAGATTGTTAGGTGCGTTGTTCACACAGCTTCCAGCAGGGGCGCTCACCTCAAGCTGGGTAATATGTAGTCTGACGTCGTTCATCGTCGGCGTCGACGGACGCAACATGAGAGCAGAGTTTGTGTCCAGCCACTCGGTGAGATAGCAAACGCACCCGCTGAATTCCTGCCTAGCCGCTCCTGCACCAGCCTCTGCTCAGTATGACGTCATTAACTGATTACCTGACACAGGGACACATGAACGCACAACAATCATGCGCTTACTAACTGTAGTTGTCATATACTCGCAAAGCTTACCTTCACTGATCTCAGCCCAGCGGCTCTGAAGGTTATTCCAGCGCTCCTTGGACAAGGTCAGGTTCAAGTCCGACTCATAGCGGAACTTGCACTTTTCGTAAATCTGGCTTTTAGCATTAAACTCGTTGCTGAACTCAATGTATTTCTGCAAGAACATACGACCAACAATGTCAGGGTTGTATATCATTGTGGGAAACAGTGACAACCAGATCAGAACATGACCCATTCACCCAAATTTTACTTCTAGCAATACATGAAGATATGTTATGGGTAACCAAAAAATATATAATGCTCCTGTTACGCTTTTATATCCGACTACGTCCATTAAGGCAATCCTGTGCCAATCTATCATCAGACTGTCGGTATATGCTAAGATTGGCTTAGACAATGCCCTGCCCAGCACAGCACTTACCTCATATTCCTGGTTGGCATCGGTAATGGGCAAGTCCTGTATCGACAAAAGTGGGCTGCATTCATCCAGCCATGTGATCAATTGATCGTACTCCTTCTTTTCCAGCTTGGCTTTCAACCGGACCTCCTGGGCTGCCTGCAGCATCTGTTAAAACAAGCATATAAAAGGTTTGGCTAGCATATTTTAGAATGCGTTCGTTTCATACTCGACGTGAAAGTAGTGTATTTTGTAGCTCAAATTTATTGTCATTAATTTACCAGTACCAGGCAACACAAGTAACTGAGTCATGAGGAATCACAATCATGCATGCTAAGAGGTGTAATTGAGAGGTCATTCCGTCACACATATAGTGGAACTGCAATGTTTACCTTCGGCATGGCTGCTGGTGCTGCTTCAGTCTGTCCTCCTAGGGCCGGGTACCTCTTGAGGAACTGAGCGACATACGTCATGATGGACTTCTCGTCTGGTCTGGGTACGTCCACGTCTACAGAGAAAACCCATAACGTTCAATCCCTACAGGTTAAATCATGCTAATATCGTGACTTCATTTTCTAGATTGATTTTACTCATTGATTGATTCTGATTGATAGTGATTCATCACAGATCGTATGACATTTTTCACTGCATCCACTGGCAGGTAGACTGGGGCATTATAGATCATGCGGTACTGACTAGTCTTCACTCTGTGATTTCAGTCTACTGCTACAGTACACAATCAAACCTGCATTAGCAGTCACCTCCATAGAACAGCCACCTGTATATAAAGGACTTTGGTGTTTCGCTGGAATGCCCCTTAAATAGAGGTTTGACTTTTGTGTTATTATCATTACTTATTTATTGTTTATTATATATTTATGTATATTATTGTTATAGTTATATATTGTTACCTTCGGGATCAATCAGTCTGGGGATGGCCAGCTCTCGTTCGGCTAGTGTGAAAGCCTGTTCCAGGTTGACTCTGGCTGCCTGATGTCTGACTTTGGCCATGTCCACCAGTTCAGGCTTGACGGCATGCACCATGGCGTTGAATGCGACACCATCACGCCAGCTGGGACCAAAGTCCTTCACCTCGATGCCGAATCGCCTGTCGATGACAAGAAAACATGCGCTGTCATCGCTTCATGCACGAACATCTCGACTGACTCGGTAAAATGTGTTGGTAGGACGTGATGGAAGTGGATTTCAGGACAGACAAGCAAACTGGGACAGAGGATGGTAAGCTAGACAGTACTGCAGGGCTTCGTGAACGACATAGGCATTCAAGGGGGGAAAGTATGGGAGGGGGTCCTTCCCCTCTCATTGAGGGGGGGCCTCCCTCGGAATTTTTATTTTTATTTAAATGTTTTAATTTTTTAATTTTTTTGGCCGTGCAGTTTCAAAACTGACCGTGCAAATCACGGCTGCACGGCTCGCTGGCTAATACGTTGTGCTAATAATAGGGTGAAGAGTCCTGGATGGCCAATGCTCGGCTACATTTGCTTAAGTAAGAAATACGACACCATGTGACTGTCTCATTACAGGCACTGAGTGAAGACAAACATCCCACGCACCTAGAACTGATAGACTACATGGGAATATCTAATCTCTGCTGTTCGAATATATGTTATCAGGAGTGAATAATAGAGATCTCTATTACTCACTCCTGATGTTATTATCTATCTATATATATATATATATATATGTGTTAATCACTCAGTCGCATTCATGTCAATCATCATTTGTGCATTTCTGCATTTATTCTCTACTTATATTGTAATTTCTGTGAGGAGGACTCATACCTCGTTATTGATTTCTGGGCCCAGAGCAGCAGAGCTTTGCGGGCTCCTCCCCTGAATTTCTCAGCGAAGCCGCCCTTTCTCTTGGTAGGAGGTGGTCCTGGACTCCTGCCATGAGCTTCCCTGCTCTCTGTGCTGTCAATCGTATCTGTGCTTGAGGTGAGGCTTTGGTCTCCCAGTGCCTTTGTGTGCTCCTCAATCTGAGTGCAGGGAAATCATGGATTAGTTCACGAAATGCTGTCATGACGATGCCTGCAGCAGCAGCAGCAGCAGCAGCAGCAGCAGCAGCAGCAGCAGCAGCAGCAGCAGCAGCAGGGACCAACACTATGAGCTGTACTTCACTCCTGCTACGTCGGTGAACAGCAAACATGCTGTAAACATGTTCAGTTCATGCAGGGCATGGCAAAATTCTGCTCATTTATTTTTAAATTTTTCAAACAAAATTTTTGTATATTTTTATTTTTATTTTATTTTTATTCACGGCGTTTTTACTATTGTAAACTTGCAGTGGTTCAGGAAATCATATTGACAGCACCACCAGGGATACACCAACCAGCACTAGTGCTTTTCGGGACCATTGAGAGTGTGTTAGGTGCGTTGTTCACACAGCTTCCAGCAGGGGGCGCTCACCTCAAGCTGGGTAATATGTAGTCTGACGTCATTCATCGTCGCGTCGACGGGACGCAACATGAGAGCAGAGTTTGTGTCCAGCCACTCGGTGAGATAGCCAACGCACCCGCTGAATTCCTGCCTAGCCGCTCCTGCACCAGCCTCTGCTCTCATGTACGCCTGTAGACACATGCAAACACACACACACAGGCATCAATCAAAAATAATATAATAGCAGCACATATACCTGTTTCTCTACATCTTCAACACAATCCATTGAAGGATACATCATGTGCATCACACTCTATAGAGATTAGGCTCAAACTTATCAACCTAATCGAATGATTTCAGAAGAAAATATTTGAAGAACATCGTATTAATGTGATCGTTGTTAATTTGTTATAATGAAATGAGAAAACATATCGATATCGGGGAACATATCCACGATCACAGGAATGCTGCAAAGTGTAGCGCCAACTTGCTTTATCGTGGGACGCCGTACCTTCGAGTGGTCAGACAACTGCTTCCAGCGCTGGTTGATGGCATTGACATTCTGTCGGATGTTGGTTGCCGTGGTTTCATCACATACAGGGGTTAGGGCCGCCGCAGCCTCGTTCAGCATCGTCAGCTCCTGTGCTCGCTTGTCTACGTCGTTGAAGTACGTCTGCAAACAAGTAATCGTCGTCTGTATGTTCACAAAGCAACACATCCGGTTGTCACGTTTGCACCCAGGTCGTCTATTGCACATATGCTTGACAAGCATGTTTTTCTGCAGGAGTGAAATGTTATTTGCATGTGCGCGCGTGTGTGTGTTTGTGTGTGAAAGTGTGCAGCAAAAAATTGAAAATAAATGTGTATAAGAGCGTGAAATCGCATGAACTACTTACTGCTTTCTCCATGGCCGACTTGTCCATGACCATCTCTGCTCCATTGATCCAGGTCGTCAGTACACCGCCGTATGCCGTGTAGGTCCGCCAGTCGTGCAGCACTGTACCAAGCACCGTTTGCTGGCTGTGGATATCATCGGACAACTGTTTCCACTTGTCAGTGACATCTTGAATTTCTTTGTTTAAGGTGTCAACCTCAGTTTTCGCTACAAACGAGAGAAGCACCATATATTAGTGCACGACAAATATCAGATCATATGTACAAGAAATGTATTTCGATTTATTAAAGTCCATGGCAGCAGGCACCCAGCCCAGCTGGGAATGAGCACGACATATATTTTACCATTTCATTGATGATACCCTTTTGACTCCTACAACTAAAATTCTCACCCAAGGCCACTGAATATAATTTAACAACTCAAAAGTATTTCACTCGTCTTATTTTCATTTTACTACCAGAAATTACCTGTTATCAGATGACCCTGTCTGGCCAACATAAAACCTCCCTGTTTTTCTGTTGCGACGATACACTTATAACTAACTATATCTGTACAAGTAATGAGAAGGGGGCTATATATTTTACACAATCTGTACCTGGTTTCTCTCGTTTATAGTGTTCAGCTTTCTGGCATAGTTCATAGTATCGTTTTTCATACTGCTGGTAGATTCGTCTGCTATCAACCAGGGCCTGTAATGAAAGAATGCAATAAAAGACCAGTAGCCTAAGATTTTTACAGATGTTTTGCAGATAGCAATCCCAAACTGGTTTCGTAATCCTTCTATATCTGGACGCTCAAAATTATATGCTATCCGAAGCACACTGTATAAGCACACACACACGTTCGCTATACTACAAAAACAAAAATAGCTGAAATGGCTTTATTTGCCTGAGGGAGTGACAACAGAGGGGCGAGCCATAACTGTTGCCGATAAACGTTATAATTGGCTTGTGCAAACATTTATTTCTACATTGCTCTTTTTAATCAGATGTCCACATTCCATCAATTTGTAGCCTTATGATTTATTTCTCGTAACTTTCATGATTAGTAATTTTCTGTGAGGAGGACTCATACCTCGTTATTGAATTTCGGCGCCGCAGGCAGCCAGGGCAGCAGGCTTTATGCGGCTCCTCCCCGATTAATTTCTCAGCGTAAGTGTAGAGCAGGGCCGCCGCGCGCCTTTCTCTGGTAGGAGGTGGTGCCTGGACTCCATGCATGAGCTTCCCTGCTCTCTGTGCTGTCAATCGTATCTGTGCTTGAGGTGAGGCTTTGGTCTCCCAGTGCTTTGTGTGCTCCCTCAATCTGAATTCAGGGAAATCATGGATTAGTTCACGAAATGCTGTCATGACGATGCCTGCAGCAGCAGCAGAAGCAAGCAGGCAGCAGCAGCAGCAGCAGCAGCAGCAGCAGCAGCAGGGACCAACACTATGAGCTGTACTTCACTCCTGCTACGTCGGAGAGAACAGCAAACATGCTGTAAACATGTTCAGTTCATTGGCAGGGCACGGCAAAATTCTGCTCATTTATTTTTACATTTTTCAAAAAATATTTTTGTATATTTTTATTTTTATTTTATTTTTATTCACGGCGTTTTTACTATTGTAAACTCACCTGGAAGTAGAGGATGATGGTCCAAATCAACCCAAGCACAATGGTTGGTTTTCCATCCACCACATCCGAAGCATTGATGTTCACCAGCTTTAGCTGTAAATGCAAAATGCCACATAATGGTTTCAATCATTCACTTAGATTTTTCGCATTAGAATTAGCTGACCATGCTTAGCAACATGGAAAGGAAATGACACCATTAGCACTTAGTGAATCTTGGTGAATGGAGCAAAACAGAAGGAAATCATTTAAAAGAAAGAGCAATAGATCTGTGATGAGGAACCGCCTGTCACCACTGATTGAGATAGATAGATAGATAATAGGTTTATTGCAAAATTAGTATTTACAACGTTACAATTAAAATAAGTTTTGCAAACATGATATCATCAAGCGGTATAAAACTGAAATTGATGATATTTACAATAATACATGTCCCATGGTAAGCATACGTATCACTTGAATATATTGTTCATAAAATATATCACTACAACTAAATCATCTTCAAGAATATATACAATATTTAAAATAACGTGATCCTTAGTCAAAATAGTTACAATTAAATCAAACATATCACATAACCGAAAGTTGCCGAAAGAGTTATTTCAGAGACCAAAATGTTTATACAGGGGCGCAAGCTAATTGTATATTAGCACCTTCCTGCTTTCTAGGAACTTTAGAGCATTGCTGATGTTGCTCATGTAATGGAGTCTCCGCA